CCCCCCCACCTCTTTCCCCTCCCCCACCTCCCTCCCCCCTGTTGCCCGGCTGCCACACTGTCTTCAGCTGACTATTGCCTGTCTTGCAGCCCGCCAGAGGACCTCCTGGACCGCGGGGTGACCCTGGGTACGAGGTGAGTGGGTGCCCTGCGTCCTGATGAACAAACGTGGGAGAAACGTCCCAGCAGCCTGGAGCCCTGGTGTTCGGGACATGGAGGGACCTCAGGCAGCCTCCCTGGGCGCCCGCTGTGTACCCGCTGGGCGTGGGCATGGTGCAGGCACACCTTGGTGAGCGGGTGCCCGGCCACGGGAGAGCCCAGGCAGAGACCCCACAGTGATGCGGGGTTGGAGGACTGGGCGGCAGTGGGGCCCGACCCCCTGGCCTCCTGCTTGGTGGGGAGGCGGCCCTCCCGGAAAGGGGCATTTCCTGGTGGCCTCTCTCTGGGATTCAGGCCAAGGCCAGGTGCGCCTCACAGGAGACTCCAAAGATCGTAACAGTTGTCAATATTCACAACCCGGGAGGATGCTCATGAAAGTGCCAGTTTCTGGTTTTTAAAATATGTCAGGTCCCATGGCTGTGGAACCACGTGGTGCCCCCCACAGAAGCTGAGCAGTGGTCCCCTCCCCTGGGAGGCTCCTGTGCGCCACCCACCCCGCCTGTGTGAGCCCCACAGCCTGGGAGCCCCGTGAGGCAGCAGGATCGGGCAGGGCCAGAGGGGGGGATCCGGGGTGGCTGTGAGGGAGGGACGCGTGGACCCCACCTCATCCTGGAGACAGGCGATGCGGAAGGGGTCTGGAAAGCCCGGGGAGACCGAGGGAGCCCTCCTAGCCTCTGTGAGCCCCTGACGGTGGCCTCTCTGTGTTCCAGGGCGAACGAGGGAAGCCAGGTCTCCCGGGAGAGAAAGGAGAAGCCGGGGAGCCGGTGAGTCCCCAGCGCCTGACCTCAGGACAGAGGGCACTCAAAGCCCGAGCCAGGGAGCCAGGCCAAAGGGGCTTCCAGGAGGATGACTGGTGTCCGAGCACCATGGTCACAGGGCCTGGCCCGCAGAAGACGTGACCCTGTGGGTGGCAAGGGCTGCAAGGGGCCAGGCACACCCTGCCCAGTGGCCTAACCCCCAGGCCCTGACCTCCTTGGGCAGGTGGGAGGTTGGCCAGCAGAGCCGCGGGGTCCCTGCCAAGGCCCTGGCCCAGCTCCCCACGAACCAGCCTTTCATCCTGGGGGCCTTCACAGCAGGAGCAGGGGTGGGCCTCCACAGCAGGTGGGGGCCACCCAGCCCAGTCCCTGCCGCTGACCAGGCCTGAGGGGATGGGGCCTCCCTTGCCCCCGGGGTGTCTAACGTGCCCCCTCCTCTGTGTTCCAGGGGAGGCCCGGGGACCTCGGACCCGTCGGCTACCAGGGGATGAAGGTGGGTCCCCCTCCTCAGAGTGGCTGGGCCCGGACACCGGGCATCACCCCAGGACACCGGTGACCCCTCTTTCCTCCTCTGTCTGCTGTGTAGGGAGAAAAAGGGAGCCGCGGGGAGAAGGTGAGTAAGGCCTGCCTCGTGACGCCTCCCCTGCGCGCGGACTGGGTGACGCTGTGCGTCCCCAGCACGGCCTCTCGCTGTCCTCCCTGCCTGCCTGGGAGCCCGTCGCGCCGTGGGAGGAGCACATACTCACCCTCCCTTCCCGTCTCCACAGGGTTCCAGGGGACCCAAGGGCTACAAGGTGAGTGTGGCAGGGCAGGTGCTCTGCCCCGGGGGTGGAGGTCGTGCTCTCTGACCTCTGACTGACCCTTCTTTGGTCCGTGCATTTCACAGGGTGAGAAGGGCAAGCGTGGCATTGATGGTGTGGATGGCATGAAGGTAACCCCAGCCCGGTGGAGGGCTGGTGCTGGGCACACGGTTCAGGGAAGGGGTGGTGGGCAAAGCCAGGTGCGCCAGAGGAGATGGGCAGGGGTTCTGTGCGAGGGCACTCCCGGGCAGCTCGTGAAGGCAGGAGAGGCTCCCTGCTGAGCCCTAGGCCAGTGGGCCTGACTGCCCACCTTCCTCCCTCCAGGGGGAGTCGGGCTACCCCGGGCTGCCAGGCTGCAAGGGCTCCCCTGGACTTGATGTGAGTGACTCCGCCCCACTGCCAGTGTGGGGCTGTGAGTTCCCCCTTTTCTGTTTTGACACATTTGCGGGCCTCCCTGTGGCTGCCTGTTGGAGACCACGACTGACCCCTGCCGTCTTCTTTCCAGGGCACTCAAGGACCCCGTGGGCCCAAGGGTGACGTGGGCGCTCTTGGACTGAAAGGAGAAAAGGTTCCTGGGGAGACCCCTGGGGCGGGCGGGCCAAGAGCTGAGTCCGGAGTTCCCTCTGAGGGCGGCCCTGGGTGGGAGCTGAGGTGGGGCCGCCCCAGGGAAACCCCCCGGGCGGCATGTCAGTCCAGGGCAGCCACCACTCCAAGCGCTCGCCTCCCAGTGTGGGGCACAGCCGTGGTCCCGCAGAGGAGCGGGCAGGAGGCTGTGGCCTGCCACACCCTGTCCCCGCCAGAGTCCGTGTGCTCACGTGGAAACTGGCATGTAGGCATGGCCAGAGCTGCTGGGGCAGCGGCAAAGGGAACAGGGTGGCACCCTGTTGAGTCTTAACTTAAAGCCCAGTTTCCCGTTGCTGGTATTTTTCTGGGGTTTTCAGGAGTTGCTGGGGAAGGGAGAGTGGCACGCATTCTGCCCCCAATGTGCCTTAACGGTGCAAGTTTCCTGGAATGGGTCTTCAGAATCTCGCTTCCCAGTGCCATTTGTGGGGCAGCCCTGACTTTCCCAGTGCCATTTGTGGGGCAGCCCTGACCTGAGCCCGCCAGCTCCCACCCTGCCCAGCAGCACCCCCTGCACTGTGTTTGATAGTCGGCAAGGGGATGCCGTTCAGGGAGGGGTGGGACTGCGCCAATGACAGCGATTTGGGGCTCACACTGTCGGTCAGGGAGAGTGGCCTGAGATCCAGGTGAGGGGGGCAGGTGCGGGTCACTGGGGCCCCCCAGACAGAGCAGGCATGGCCTCCTGCAGGCTGACCCTTCTGATGTTTCCAGGGTGCACCCGGAGCCGACGGGGAGCCTGGGAGACAGGGCAGCACAGGGCCCCAAGGAGAGGAGGTGAGCAGGCAGCCCCAGGGCACAGCTGGGGTGGGGGCCAGGCCCAGGGAGGGGCCGCATGGAGCAGCTGGAACTGCAGCCCTGGGCCTGGGTGTGGGCATGGTCAGAGGTGGATAGCTCTACTCTGGTGCCCCCAGGGCGAGCCCGGAGAGCCCGGAGCCCCGGGAGAGAAAGGAGAAGCTGGCGATGAGGTGAGCTCCCACGTTCGGCCGCCCGCTCCCATGAAACTAAGCAGTTTTGTCTCAACTCATGCTTGTATTCGTTCCTCTGAAACAGGGAAACGCAGGACCAGATGGTCCCCCTGGAGACAGGGTGAGTTGGGAGGTGGAGGTGCTCTGGGTTCTGGGCCTCACTTGGTGGCCAGCGTGGCTGGTGTGGCCAACTCCAATCATCTCTGCTAACACTTCCCAGAGCTTCCATCTGAGCTGGTGGGACTCACGTCTTGGGAAGCATGGGGCATGAGGTGGAGGGATGCACTGTCCTGGGGTATCCTGTGGGGAGAGGGGTTGGTCCTGAGTCCGGGTCTTGACCACTGCCCCCCAAAGTGTCTATAGCCTCACCTCCCTCCATTTCGCCCTATGCAGGGCGGCCCTGGGGAAAGAGGTCCCCGGGGGACCCCAGGTGTGCGGGGCCCAAGGGGAGACCAGGTGAGTGAGTCCCCATCCATCAAACTGGGACCCCACCCCCCAGGCAGGGGTCAGGCTGTCAGAACCAGGGACACAGGCTGCCACACGCTGCGGCCCTGCCCTTGCCTTCTGTGGCCCCAAACAGAGGCAGCCCCCAGCCCAGCCTGAAGCTGTGCCCCGCCTCATCCGGGGGGCCCGAGGGGGCAGACTGTGTGTGTGGGGGGGCACGGGCCCCACCCCACTGCTCCAGAGTCAGGGCGGAGATGCTGGTCCCGCCTCTGTGGGCCTGGCCTCTGCCTGGACAGATGGCGATGCCACGTGGCGTCAGAGGAGAGGCCATGGGGCTGCACGGCCCACTCTGACCTGGGGCAGAAGTGCCCCTCTGGGTGCGTGCCCCTGGGCACTGAGCCTGCGGCTGGGCCTTTCCCACCCCTGGGGTTTCTCCAGCCCTCAGGCCCCTGCGTGGGGTTGGGGGGAAGGTCCAAGCAGGGGTAACATGGCTTCCACCCCCTTCCAATCCCCACCGAGGTCTGGACACGGGCCCAGGGGAGGGAAAGGCCACATGGGCCCAGCCCCTGAGCCCTGAGCTGCTGTGGCAGAAGCTGTGCCTCTGGACTCCGGGTGGGGCTGGGGCCTCGGTGGCCTCCACCTGAACCACCCATCTCGGGGGCCGTGCACATGGCCACTCACGGCGAAATGTGGGCCAGCATGGGAAGGAAGGCAAGGCCCAGGCCACAGCGGGAGCTGCCCCGCCAGGCTCTGGACCCCTGCTGGCCCCCGGACCTTGGCCTTATCCCACGCCACCCTGGCAGCCGCCCTACCCAGGCCTCCACACTCACCGGCTTGTTCCTGCCAGGGCGAAGCTGGACCCCAAGGTGACCAGGGACGAGAGGGCCCCGTTGGCACCCCTGGAGACCCGGTAGGGAGCCTGGCTGCCAGGGTTGGGGGCCCCACTCCCCTTCCGACTTGGGGGGCTTGCTGGCTTGGTTAGCACTGGGGATTGGAAGTCCAGCCGCAGGTCTTTGAGGAAGCCAGAGGGCCCCTGGGGACCCCCCAGCTTGGTGGGGTGGGGCCACATTGCACTGGAGATGGGGCATGTGAGCCCTCACGGGACATGGTGGAAACAGGCTCACTCAGCTTTTGGGACCCAGATATGAGGTCCTGGTAGGAGGTGGCACAGAGTGAGGGCCAGAGGACTGGGCAGGGGAGGAGCCAGGGGTAGAGCTGGGGAGGGGGTGCAACCTTGAGACAGGTCGTCTGCAGCAGACCCACGTCCAAGGGTGAAGTGTGAGCCTGGCAGGTGGGGCCCTGAGGACGGCACAGAGACAGTTGGGGCCGCACTGGGGCTCCGGGGCTCCTGGAGCTTGGCCGGCTGCGTCTCAGCAGGGCTGTGCAGGCCACACTGGGCCTGGGCCTACCTGGGGCTGCCGGTCCCGTGGGAGAGATGGAAGACACAGGAGTCAGCTTGTGGACATAAGCCCAACAGTCACATGTTGAGGACGTCCTGGGGCATGCCTCCAGTGGGGTGGGCTGGACTGCCATCCCCTGAAAATGGGTAGGGGCAGGGCCAGGGGCACTCCAGGCCCCAGGCTGCCAGTTCCGTCCCCAGCACTTGGCCTTAGATGGAGCCTCACCCTGGCATGTGGGTGGGAGATGGTACCCCTGGCCCCCTGCTGGGGTGCTCGGGAGCCAGAGCCTCTGCAGAGAGGGACTTACCACCTCTGCCAGCCCTGAGGCGGAGAGGGCTACCCAGGCCCACCCAGGGTACAGCCTTTCCCCCCTTCAAGAGGCCTCGTGATGGGCCAGGTGGGCATCCAGGGGACCCTCCACAAGCCTGCCTCCTCTCCCTCCCTGCCTCCCTGCACCCCCTTCTCCAGGCACCCCCCGCCCCTGGGCCCAGACCTCCTTAGCCCATCCCGGACTCCCAGCCTGTGTGCCACTGGCCCTATGAGGGGCACTCCACGTCCCTCCTGCTGAGGATCAGCTGTGACATGCAGGGTGGGCAGGACGGCAAGGAGGGCCCCCCAGGCCGTGCAGGGTCCCTTGGGGTGGGCCAGCCCCCCAGGCCGTGCAGGCGGCTGGGCCTTGGCTCATGGCTTTGGGGTTTTTTGGTGGCTTCTCTTGGGGAGAAAAATTTGGAATTGGAGTGTTAAGAAAACAGAATTTAAAAAATCAGCAAGAGGAAGCAGCCACCGCAGCACAGGGCTTGCCTGATGGGGTGCTAGCGGCCTGTCGGGGGCGGTGCGCAGACCCAGCCACGAGACACGCCCGGCGGGAAGCCTCTCCCATCCAAGCCCGAGCTGGACCTGCCAGAGGGTCCCCGGGCCCTGGGGGCCGCCTGTGCGCAGAGGAGGCACGTGGGCACAGAGGGCGGCCGGGACGGGCGGCTCCTGATTCGGGTTCTCCTGCTTGGCTGAAAGGAGGGTGATGGCTCTCAGAGGCAGGGCCTGGAGCCGTCTGCCTGTGGACAGAAGATGCCCCCAGACAGAGCTCCCTGCGCCCCCAGACAGAGCTCCCTGCCTGCTCTGCTTCCCGAGGGAGGGTAGGTGAAGGTCAGCACAGCAGCAGAGCAGCTTATGATGAAAGGCAGGCCTCCCTCGGCCTCCCCTCCCCAGAGACCAGTATTTAGTTGTTTCTAGAAGTTTATTTCTTCTGGACTCCCTCTGGAAAAAGCATGGCTCATGGAGCGCCAGAACCCTGCCCAGGCCGCCGACCATCCACAGCGCTGAGCGCGCCCCACCACCGGTTCTCTCTCCCGCAGCCTGGTGCCCATAGCTTGTTCTGTGTCTCCAGTTTCCAGAGTGATTGACAGTCCTTATGGAAAAGGAAACTGCCTGAGCGTGCCAGGGGGAGGGACCCCACACCAGGCTATAGGCACCCCTGGTGTGCAAGAGCATCTCCTGCCTGGAGGAGGAGGCTCTCTGTCCCTCCAGCCTGTGGCCCTGGGGTGGCCCCCTCCCGGCTGGCGGCCCGGCCTCAGTGCGCTTGTGCACCTGGCCTCCCCTGGGGACTGGGGTCACGGCTGTGGGACTGTGCCCGTCCACCCCGGGTGTTCGCCCTCCCAGCTCTCGCCTCACCCTGACCCACAGCCTGTCAGCGCCAGCACCAGGGTGTCTGTGCAGAAGTTCTAGGAAATGTGTTTTTCCAGATTCCAAGAAAAAGCAGTTGAGCAATCCAGAAAATGGAGAAAAGGGTCCCAGCTCTCCTCCCGATGTGCACCCAGCCCTCGCCAGGCCTCCCAGAGCCCTTGTCCCACCCCGTGGTGGGCACCACCCTCCCCTGTGCCCACCAGGAGCAGTGGGGCCCTGAGCTGGGTCCCAGGAGATGCCTGCCCAGCAAGCCACCAGCTGAGGATGCCCTGCCCACTTTCTCCTGCCCCCCTTTTCATGTCCCCGTGTGCCCTGTGACCCAGAATCGAGTGGGGGCTGCTGGTCCTTGTGGCTGGTGTGCAAAGCCCCGGATCGCATGTGGGATATCCCCAGTTCTGGGACCACTGGTCATGCCTGGGACATCAAACTAACAGCGTCTGACTGACCACCGGTCAACGGAACAGGCCAATGACCAGGAGCTGCACACCTTTGCAGGAGGGCACTGCCAGGAAAGGCCCCATGAAAGGCCTCTGGGTTCAGGGTTGTGGCTGGTGGGATGCACCGTGGGCCAGCCAGCCTCCTGAGTGATGGATGCACACCTGCCTTCCTTGGGTGGGGACGCCCGTGAGGTGCCCAGGGGACCAAGGCTCGGACCCAGAAAAGAAGCCAGTTACCTCCAGGGAGAGGTGTGGATGGACAGGCCATCGGGGCTGGTGTGGGGCAGAGAGGGTCCAATGGCCATGTCCTCTTTGCAGGGAGAGCCTGGCCCCATTGGACCTAAAGGGTACCGAGGCGATGAGGGCCCCCCAGGGCTCGAGGTGAGTGCCCCTCCCTGCCCCAGGGGGCAGCTGTGGCCCAGACCCCATCCCTCTGCCCAATGCTTCCACTGGGGAGTGCCTACCACATTTACATGTGCAAGTCTCTGTTCCATTTTATGATGTATGCAAGCTGTGGGACATTTAGAAAATGTAGGAAATTTTTTAAGAAATGAAATCTAAAACAATGCTGCTCAGACACACGAGATGAGTTTGGGCAGATTATTTTCCCAGTTTCCTTCTAATTTGCATATTATGCTCACACACACTGAGCCTCACGAGGTCTCAACAAAAACTTTTTCATAATGAGAACTTCCCTGAAACCTAACAATTTTTCAGACACTGTTGACATGTGCTTTCCACAGCAGGCGTGTGGATGTCAGGGAGCCTCTGTGAGCCCCTCCCCAGGACCTGTCCCGTTTCATCACAGGGTCCTGTTTCACTCCATCTGCCCAGAGCTATGCTTTAAAAAGCCCTGCATTTAGTCTTTGCTTGTGATGGATAAAACGTTATTTTATTTGACTTACCCTCTGTTTTCCCCGAAGAGCGGCCACAGCTCTGAGCCTGCGCCGCTGTGCCAGGTGCACTGAGTTTCCCAAACCCATTGCTGCCTTCCTTAGGGTCCCAGAGGAGCCCCAGGGCCCGCAGGACCCCCCGGAGACCCCGGGCTGATGGGCGAGAGGGTGAGTGGTGGCCCCGGGGCTCAGGCCCAAGTCTCCCCCTGGGGTCCCATCAGGGTCCCGGTCGCAGTGGTCGTCAGGGAGCACCCTTGTGAATGACTGTCCCCTCAGTGTCTGAGGACTGGGAACAGGTGGGCCAAGGACATGCAGGGTGATCCTGGGCAGGGGGTGCCTCGCAGGCTGACAGGCAGTCTGTGCCCACACTGCCCAGAGGCTGGCCTAGGGGACAGCCAGTGACAGGACCTGGCCTCCATTCAGGGTGAAGACGGCCCCCCGGGAAATGGCACCGAGGGCTTCCCCGGCTTCCCCGTGAGTAACGCAAACTCCCAGTGCCCCACCCTGTTGGCCGTTGGGCATGCTGGGCGGCTGGGCTGGACCAGGGCCATGACTGGCCCAGTGCTGGGGCTGCCATGGGGCCCCCACCCGAGTCAGAGCTTGGTGTGACTGCTCTGTCTCCCCCAGGGCTATCCCGGCAGCAGGGGCCTTCCCGGCATAAATGTGAGTACACGCTCCCGTCGGGGTCTTGGTGCACACACACACACCCGTGCACACCTTCATACAAAGGACACGGTCCCCGGGTGAGGCATAAGTGTCTTTATCTTTTCCTTTAAAACTAATGTTTCTTAAAAAGAAAATGTCCCACGTATAAATTGCACCTTAGTAAACTGATTTAAAGTAGAAAACCCAGGGAAGAACAACTGTCCCTGGGCCCACAGCCTCATGGGCTCCTACAGCGCGGGAGCTGGGCCGAAACACCTGAGTTGGGGTGAGGGCTCCGGTGCCCCTGCGGAGGCCAGCTTCCCTGGACCCGGGGCACATGCCTACTCCGTGGGACCCTCGGCCCACTCACCACCTGCTCCCATCACCCGCAGGGCACTAAAGGCTACCCTGGCCTCAAGGGGGACGAGGGAGAAGCCGGGGACCCCGGAGAGGACGTGAGTGCAGGCCCACGTAGGGCTGTGGTGGCACCCTGAGGCAGCCTCACCAGGGGCTGGGACGGAGGGCCGTGGAGGGGCGCAGCCAGGCTGCTGGGGCCCTGCGGGCGGGCGGGGATCGAGGAGAGGTGCGTGTCCCCCAGCAGGTGGCCCAGCCTACGGCCGCTGTGTCTGGTAACACCATGCCATTTCCTTCCAGAACAACGACATTGCACCCCGAGGCACCAAAGGAGCAAAGGGGTACCGGGGCCCTGAGGGCCCTCAGGTGAGTCGGCACCAGACCTGGGCAGGGCGCACCCAGGACTGAGGCTGGGAGACGGGCGAGGAGCACGGGGAGGTGGGCAGGAATTTGGGGAGCAGGTCTCTGGGGAAGGCCCAGGAGGTTGGGCTTTGGTGGGATGGGAGGGACCCTGCCATCCTGAGGGGCATGGGGGGTCAGGCAGGGGGCAGAGAGGCCATGGAGCCGTTTAGGGCAGGTGCCTGGGCCCCAGACCAGAGCCCCAGCCGGGAGCCGCAGAAGGGCCCTGGGTGGCCCGCCACCGCTGCCAGGGAAGGGTGCAGGCAGGGCTGGGGGTCACTGCGGGCAGATGCCAGGCACAGGCTATCCCCGGCCCATTACATGCAGGGGCCGGGCCGCTGGCACTAAGGGCTCCCTGGGGGTGGCCTTGCCAAGGACTCTGGGTTCACAAAGCAGCCGGGCTGCCGGTGACCCTAAAGCCTGTCTCTGGCCCTTTCTCTGACAGGGACCCCCAGGACACACAGGACCACCAGGGCCAGATGTAAGTGGGCACCTGTCGTGTCACCGGGGAGCCCATCAATCTGGCCAAGGACTCTGTGGGGTGGGAGCCGTGATGGCAGTGGACATGTTGTGGCTGCAGTGGGAGGCATGTGGTGGCCATGGGAGGGGGACATCCGATGGCCACACGTCAGCGATATCGGAGGGCTAGCAGGCAAAACAGGGCAGTCTGAGAAGTGAGACCCCCAAGCTCCCTGCCCAAACCCGGCCCCACTGTGGTCTCAGCCCCACCAGGGGGCCAGCCAGCGCCTCATGCCTCTGTCTCCGCCCCCAGGAATGCGAGATCTTGGACATCATCATGAAAATGTGCTGTGAGTACCTCCCGCCTTTGAACAACTGTTCTAATTAGAAAGGAGGCCATCCTGCTGGCCCCAGGGCCCCTCTCCTAAACTGGGGAGGCAGGCAGGAGGGCGGGTGTGTGCCCCACCCGCGAGGAGGTCCCTTCGGCCAGGGGCCAGTGGCCAGGCCTCTCTCAGCCCCTTGCCCCTTGAGGGCCTGGGCACCAGGCAGACCAGCTGACCGTGGTCAGGTGGGAGGCGAGGGTGAGAGAGGGCTGAGGACCCTCTGGCCAGAGGGGATGTGGGGCCGCGGCCAACACGGCTCCCTCTCTTCTCTCCCCAGCGTGCTGCGGTGAGCATCCTCCTTGGCTCAGAGCGTTCCTGGCGTGCTCAGCTTTGGCTGGATCACCCCAGGGGTGGGGGGCTCCGCGCCCCCAGCTACCGGCCCTACCCCCCACCCATGTTGTCCTCCCTGTCCTCTGCCTGTGGCTGACGACCAGTGGCAGGCCGGGACCTGGGGTCCAGGCTCAGGTGGGGCTGCTCTGCTCTGAGTGGGGGGTCCTGGGGGCCCCCAGGCCTGACCCTCTACCCCCTGCAGAGTGCAAGTGCGGCCCCATCGACATCCTCTTCGTGCTGGACAGCTCAGAGAGCATCGGCCTGCAGAACTTCGAGATCGCCAAGGACTTCATCATCAAGGTCATTGACCGGCTGAGCAGGGATGAGCTGGTGAAGGTGAGGCCGCCGCCCTGGCCCCCTCACTCTGGGTCTGTCCGGACACCAGGCAGGAAAGGGGTGGAGCCCTGAGGAGCCTTTGGAGATGGGCACTTTGCTTCTCAAAAGCTGCAGCCCCCACCCACTGGGGGGCTGGGTCAGCCTGGATAGGTGGCAGGCCTAGGGGTGGCCGGGACCCCAGGGCACTCCCGACTCAGTGTCCGGACCACTCAGTTTGAGCCCGGGCAGTCCCATGCGGGCGTGGTGCAGTACAGCCACAACCAGATGCAGGAGCACGTGGACCTGAGAGACCCCAACATCGGGAACGCTCAGGAGCTCAAAGAGTGAGTGTCACGCCTGCACCCAGGTCATCCGCGCAAGCCGTGCACCCGTGCAGCGGGCCTGGCCCAGCCCTGCCCCATGCTGACACGCCCCGACCCCACAGAGCCATCAAGAAGCTGCAGTGGATGGCAGGGGGCACGTTCACGGGCGAGGCCCTGCAGTACACCCGGAGCCGGCTGCTGCCCGCCACCCAGAACAACCGGATCGCCCTGGTCATCACAGATGGACGCTCGGACACCCAGAGGGACACCACGCCGCTCAGCGTGCTGTGTGGCCCCGACATCCAGGTGGAGCCCTTACTAGGTACCTGCTGCCGGCCTCAAAGGCCAGGCCTCTCTGTCCTGGCAGCCACACCGACCCTGCCCCTTCCCTCAGGTGGTATCCGTGGGCATCAAAGATGTGTTTGGCCTGGTCCCAAGCTCCGATCAGCTCAACGTCATCTCCTGCCAAGGCCTGGTGTCCCCGAGCCGGCCAGGTATCTCGCTCCTCAAGGAGAACTATGCAGAACTGCTGGAAGACGCCTTTCTGAAGAACATTACCTCCCAGATCTGCATAGGTGGGTGCAGCTGCCCACCTGGCTGCTGGGATACGGTCTATTCCCTGTGTCCTGGCACCTAGGAGCCCCACGCTCTGGTGCTCTCAGTAGCTGTACCCACCCGTGTGCGTGCTGCTTGGCCTTGGAGCCCAAGAGCACTTGGGGTGCCCGTGGCAGCATGGGCCCACACAGCCCAGCCCATGCTCAGAGTGGAGCCCACAGAGAGGCAGCGGGTCAGGCGCAGGCCCTCCCCAGCAGCAGTATCTGGCCGGATTACCCGGGGTGGGGTGGCACAGGGTGTCTGACCTGCAGACCAGCCCTTCTCCTCTCGAACCTTGCTCTCCCTACTCCCTCCCTGTGCTGGTATGAGGAATGGGGCCCCAGGGCCGCCTCACTACCTCAGAGGCCCACTCTTGAATGTGGACCCCTTCCTGGTGGGGTGGGTGGCCGAGTTAGGGGTTGGCCGGGCACCCCCACAGTGGCCAGGTGCTGTCTGCTGGGGCCCCTGTGGTGACTGGCTCTGTGTAGCATCAGCGTGGTGCTTCTCTCTTGCAGACAAGAAGTGTCCAGATTACACCTGCCCGAGTGAGTACCAGGCGAGGCACTGGTGGGGCAGGCGAGTGGGGCCTGGAGGGGCAGAGCCCGGGCTGGGGGCTCATGGCAATCCCTGGCTGTGCACTGACGTCCCGCCCACCCACAGTCACCTTCTCCTCCCCGGCTGACATCACCATCCTGCTGGATGGCTCGGCCAGCGTGGGAAGCCACAATTTCGACACCACAAAGCGCTTCGCCAAGCGGCTGGCCGAGCGCTTCCTGACAGCGGGCAGGACAGACCCGGCCCATGACGTGCGTGTGGCGGTGGTGCAGTATAGCGGCACGGGGCAGCAGCAGCCGGGCCGTGCGTCCCTGCAGTTCCTGCAGAACCACACCATGCTCGCCAGCACTGTGGACGCCATGGCCTTCCTCAACCATGCCACTGACGTCAACGACGCCCTCAGCTACGTGACCCGCTTCTACCGCGAGGCGTCATCTGGCGCAGCCAAGAAGAAGCTGCTGCTCTTCTCGGATGGCAACTCGCAGGGGGCCACAGCAGCGGCCGTGGAGAAGGCGGTGCAGGAGGCCCAGCGGGCCGGCATCGAGATCTTTGTGGTGGTGGTGGGCCGCCAGGTGAACGAGCCCCACATCCGCGTCCTGGTCACGGGCAAGGCGGCCGAGTACGACGTGGCCTTTGGCGAACGCCACCTGTTCCGGGTGCCTGACTACCAGGCCCTGCTGCGGGGCGTCTTCCACCAGACCGTGTCCAGGAAGGTGGCACTGGGCTAGCCCACCCGGTCCCCATCGCTGACACAGCAGAAACATGATGTGAATTTCCCTGACCGACCTCTCAGCTAGACGTTCTTAAAGGAAAGCCGCTGTGTGCCCGATGCCTGGCACACCTCCCGCAGGCTGCCCCGTGCCAGCGTCCCACCGGAGTCTCCTGGGCGTCCCACCCTCGCTTTCCTCAGCGCTTGATTCTCCTCGCAGATCCTACAGGACCCTCAGCACCTCCTCAGACGCAGCCTCCCGGCTCCTCCATGGGAGACAGTGGCCGCGTGTCATTTCTGGGAAGCCACGGCGGAGAGGATCTCCTGAGTCCGAGGAGCCGGTGCCTGCTTTCAAGGTTCTGGTGCTCGGCCCAACCCCGTCCCCACGGCCTCGGCACAGAGCTCAGCCTCCCCGGAGACCGGCGGTGACTCCTCGCCCGGCGCCCTCACAATCCCAGAACCACGGTGCTATCCTGCCGACCCCGAGCCCTCCCGTCCTCAGGCCTGGGCGCCCAGGCCACCCGGTGGCATAAAGTGATATGTTTTATTGAACACAAGCCAAAGGTCTTTTTCCTCAAAGGAGTGACTGGTACTACATTTTACTGAAACCCTCTTTATTGATTAGTTTTCTTTTTACTCCTTCCTGGATTTTTTTCTCAACCATGTCCAGGTCAGCGACTTTTCCAAATAAATATTTTCACTCTTCTCTCCATGGCCATGATTCCAGTGAATTAAAATCCCCACTGTGCTCGCATTGTGCCCACGTCCCTGAGAACCCTGACATGGTGGGTGCATCGGGTCGGGATGCCCACCTCCCACCCAGCACCTGCCAAGAGGCACCTGCCGTGGCCAGATGCCACCCACAGACACCCCTCTGTGGGCTGGGAGGGGCCCTGGCAGAGTCAGAGGCATGCTAGGTCTCATCCAGACCAGCTGGCCAGATCAAACTAGATGAAACCATAAAGGATGGATTCTGGCACCAAAAACACCTCAGGAGCCCCGGACAGGGAGTCGGGTCCAGGAGGTGCCACCGGGAAGACACTCCGGGAGGTCGGGAGTTGGTCCAGAGGGAGGTGGGAGGTGGGCCCTCCTGAGGAAGGCGGGAAGCCCAGCTCCGGTTTGCAGGGGTCACAGTCATCAGCCCCAAGGGCTCACGTCCCCTGTAGGCTAGTTGGTGGGGGTCTGGGGTTGGATAAAGGGGGGCAGGCAGCAATGCGGGCCACCCACTGGCTCCAGGCAGGAGAAGCAGGCAGCGGGGCCTCCACGCAGTCCTAGCAAGGAGGGAACCTGACCAGTGTCCCTCAGGTGGGGCCACTGATGCCTGGGCAGGCCAGGTATGGGACACCCCTCACTCACATGCCTCCCCAAACCTGGCCACAGAGCCAGATGGGTCAGGGCTACAATGCTCCAGGCCTTTTCTGATTCTGGCGGAGTTGGCAGGCGTCAGGCACAATCAGCTGACGAATCCAGGACGTGCCTCCCAGCAGACATGGTGAGAACCAGAAGCTGCCGAGGAGTGTCTCCGCTGGGGCCTGCCATGTCCCTGGGCATCACCTGCCCCCTCCCCTCACCCCCACTGCTGGAGGGGTGCTGGGGCCCCTTACCCAGCAGGCAGCACACTCCTGTGTTGGGCCGGGGCAGCCAGCTGCATAACCCACAGGGAGGCCCAAGGGCAGGCTGGGAACGGGAAGCCGCCGGTGAGAAGGGCTGCGGAACCCTCCTGGATGCCCCCAGGTCTGCACTGGGACAGGAGTCCCACTGGGGGACCTGGGGTTCCTTCCCAGGGACCTCTTCCTGAAGGGAAGTGGGCCCAGACTCATGCGTCTCCGCTTTAGGATGCGTCTCGCCTCTGGTGTGAATCACTGAGACCCAGAATCCGCTGGCTGGGAGGCCAGTCCCGAATCCAGGCTGCACCACCCAACCGGACCCCTCAGGCCCTCGCTTCCCAGCCACGAGGGAAAGACAAAGGCCCTTCATTCCAGCAGCTTGACATTTAGAAAATACGCTCTGAGGGAGACCCAGGCCAGCCTGCCCGCGCATGCTCCAAGCTGGACTGGCCGGCATTCCAGACCACTACCCGGGCCCTCAGCAGAGTGTAAAGCCGGCCAGCTGCACCTGTTAAGGGTGGTGAACCCCTTCCTTCCCGGGGTGCTGGGCCCTCCTTCCTGGGCACACTAGCAGCCACAAGGCAGGAGCTGGCAGGAGGCGCTCAACACCACCAGGGGTTCCTTCCACCCAGAACTGAGGGACACAGCACCCACCTCTCCCCAGCCCTGCCCACCCCACTTAGGAGCCTCTGGCTGAAATTCCCTCCTGCTCCAGGAAGAGGGGGTACCCCTGGTGTCTGAGGGAGGGCTCGGGAATCCCCTGCCAGTCCTCGCCCCTCCCCATCAGGTCAGCCTTGCCCTCTGGGTCCCAGCCCCCCAGGACCCATCCCAGCAGGGTGCCCTCAGCCCTTTTAAGGATCCCACTGTCCTGACCCACCCTGTGACCCCCGAGGAGTGTGATCCCCAGGTGTCAGGGCCCCCAGGTGTGTTTTGTTGACCCGGTTTCTCCAGTGGGCCCAGACTCATGCGTCTCCGCTTTAGGATGCGTCTCGCCTCTGGTGTGAATCACTGAGACCCAGAATCCGCTGGCTGGGAGGCCAGTCCCGAATCCAGGCTGCACCACCCAACCGGACCCCTCAGGCCCTCGCTTCCCAGCCACGAGGGAAAGACAAAGGCCCTTCATTCCAGCAGCTTGACATTTAGAAAATACGCTCTGAGGGAGACCCAGGCCAGCCTGCCCGCGCATGCTCCAAGCTGGACTGGCCGGCATTCCAGACCACTACCCGGGCCCTCAGCAGAGTGTAAAGCCGGCCAGCTGCACCTGTTAAGGGTGGTGAACCCCTTCCTTCCCGGGGTGCTGGGCCCTCCTTCCTGGGCACACTAGCAGCCACAAGGCAGGAGCTGGCAGGAGGCGCTCAACACCACCAGGGGTTCCTTCCACCCAGAACTGAGGGACACAGCACCCACCTCTCCCCAGCCCTGCCCACCCCACTTAGGAGCCTCTGGCTGAAATTCCCTCCTGCTCCAGGAAGAGGGGGTACCCCTGGTGTCTGAGGGAGGGCTCGGGAATCCCCTGCCAGTCCTCGCCCCTCCCCATCAGGTCAGCCTTGCCCTCTGGGTCCCAGCCCCCCAGGACCCATCCCAGCAGGGTGCCCTCAGCCCTTTTAAGGATCCCACTGTCCTGACCCACCCTGTGACCCCCGAGGAGTGTGATCCCCAGGTGTCAGGGCCCCCAGGTGTGTTTTGTTGACCCGGTTTCTCCTTTTGCGTCACACAAGCTGGCTGCCTCTGCACCACGTGCAGGTTGGGATACCTGCCTCGCGCGGGTCACTGTCATCAGTGGCACCACCCCGTGCTTTTCCAGGAGCTCCGCAGATGGTGTGAGGCCGCGCTTTGGGAGCACGCCCTATCCTGTTTCCCCTCCAGTTGTCTCAGGTGTTCTGTGGGTGGCCCAGAGTTGCAGGTTCCCACTCACTGAGAGTCCTTATCTTTTATAGAAAAATCAAGCACATCCACATTTGTTACTAGGGCCGAGCTTTCATCTTCATAATGCACTTTCCAGGCTGAGGACATGCAGGAAGAACATTTTTCTGCTTTTCCATAGTTTTCCTATTATAATCTATGACTTCTGAAGCACCTGGGAGGACTTCTGGCCGTGCAGCCCACCAGCCAAGACCTCCAGGCGCTGGCCTGCCTGGGGGGCATCTGCAGCCAGAGCCCCGTCCGACGGTCGGCAGCGGCCTCCTAAAGCTACAGAGGAGGCAGTAGGGATGCCAGGGCCAAGGCTTCTGGAAAGTGACCCCGTCCGTGAGGCAGAGTGTACACCCCTCAGCTCCTGGGTGATCCTTAGAGACAGAACGCACCTCTGCAGCGGCGCCCGAGGGAAACGCAAGGTGAGCCAGGCGAGGCCCTGGAAGGCTGTCAGGCTGGCCCCTGCGGGAGTGGGGGCCTCACACATGACTGATGGCCAGGCACAACAGCACGCTGCTCAAGAATGGCCTCTGCAGTTTCCTGAAGGCACACACGCGTGCACCCCACAGCCCAGCCACTCCGGTCCTGGGGACGGCCAAGGCCTTGAAGAACGTTCACAGCACCTGATTTCCAGGAGTGGACGTGATGTGAGGACCCAACAGGCAGCTGCAGAAGCCACGCACACACCACAAACACAAAGGGGCAAGTAGCCCAGGAGCATCTCACACAAACCGCACAGCGTGGAGCAGGCAGACTCGCACAGCTGACCCGCAAACCACACGGCTGTGGCCTGCACAGGCCCACTTATACCAGACGTTTTCCCAAAAAATGTATTGGAAAAATTTCTGGGGATTTGTGACAGTCTGAGAAACTACCCTCTCTTCTCTAGCTTACTGTATTGAAGGATACAGTATAGGACTTGTATGACACACAAATACGTGTTAGCCAGCTGCATATGTCATCAGTAAGGCTTCCAGGCAGCAGTAGGCTATTAGTAGTCACCTTCTGGGGAATGAGAGGTTATACGCTGATTTTCAACTATACACTGGGGGTCCAGCGCCCCCAGCCCCCATGTTGCTCAAGGGTAGGCTGTATGCGATGTATGACCCTGCTTGCAGGAAGCTCAAGAAGAGGTAAAACTAATGGGTGGTGGTGAAACTCAGAAGGCAGCTGCCTGCATGGGCAGGATCAGCCAGGGTACTTTCTGGATAAAGGAGAGGCTGTCTGGGTGGCACGTGGGTTACATGCACAAGCATCTGTCAAAATTCTTAGAGTGGGACATGTAAGATTGACACATTTCCTTGCAATTTCCATCAAAAGAAAAGCAAGCTCTCCCCTCTACCCCAGCTCCACAAGCATGAGAATCCCCTGTTGCCCCTGGGCCTGTGCTCGCCCCAGCCTTCCCCCGCTCCAGGGAGGTCTTGTGGGAGCACCCTCCCTCTGCCACTCTGTCTGTCCCCCACGTGCCCCTTTCGGTGGGACACAGCCATCACCTCTTCATGTCCACCTCACGCCCGAGTACACACTGTGTGTCCCCCTCCCTGAGTGTGACTAGGATGGCATGTCTCTCCTGGACCTGTCACATTGCAGAGTTGACTGGGAGTCACCCAGAAGGAAGGCTCTACCAGGTGGGTCGGCCTAACAATGTTACAGACATGGCTGGCTGGCCTTCCCGAGGACTACCCGCGGGGGCCACGCAGCGAAACGGGGTGCAGTCCTGCAACCCCACGGAGCTGAATCCCATCAATAACCAGCGAGTCTGGAAGAGGCCCCAAGCCACAGCTCTGGCCATGGGACCCGGCCTCGGACATGCGGTTGCTGGTGTGGCCCGTCTGAGTTGCCTCTGGGTGCTACACTGGTGGCGGTTTGCCAAGCAGCTCCGTC